GGAGGGAGGGGGGTGAAGGGGCGGAGGGGGAGGGGGAGTTGGACTGCACCTCCTCTCTCTCTCTCTCTATCTTCATCGGCATTCTTATTTATTCCCTGGAACGAGAGAAAGGGAAGAGATATAAATATGGGGCACAGAGAGATAAGGTTAAAAGTTAATTAATTTAAAGGTACGAAAAGAGAGAGAAAAAAAAGTATGGAGATACAGCAAGTGGAAGAGAAAAATATGAATATGGAGGTAGAGAGAGAGAGAGAGAGAGAGAGAGAGAGAGAGAGAGAGAGAGAGAGGAGAGAGAGAGAGAGAGAGAGAGAGAGAGAGAGAGAGAGAGAGAGAGAGAGAGAGAGAGAGAGAGAGAGAAATATAAATATGGAAGTACAAAAAGAGAAAGAGAGAAGATATGAATATGTACCCAATTGTACGTATACAGAAAGAGTTTGTAGTTATTTTGTGAAAAGAAATTTATGCAGATAGCATCACTGACCTATATCCATATGTCTATAAACGAATTAATTTATTCTATTTATGCTTATTCGTCTTCCTTCCATAAATGAAGAAGACAAAGAAGAGAGATAGATAGATAGATAGAGAGAGAAGGAGAGATAGAGAGAGAGAAAGAGAGAGAGATAGATAAATAGATAGAGAGATAGATAGATAGATAGAGAGAGAGAGTGAGTGAGAGAGAGAGAGAGAAGGAGAGATAGATAGATAGTGAGAGAGAGTGAGAGGAGAGAAAGAGAGAGAGATAAAGAGAAAACGAACTTGATCTATACAAAAGATGAAATTATCATTTTTATTCGTCTTCCATCCATAAAAGAAGAAAAAGAAGAAGAGAGAGAAAAAAAAACTATTTTTATCTATACATAAGATGTAATTATCTCTCCCATCCCCTCCCTCGAAGAAGAAGAAGATGAGAGAAAAAAGAAAGGAATTTGATCTACACAGGAGAAGACGAAACTACCTCTCCTCCCCTCCTCCTCCTCCCTCCCTCCACCCTCCCTCCCTCCGTCCCTCCCCGGGCTACCGACCTGTTATCACTCTCCATCTCTGACTCTCTAGCCTGTTTTTGCACGTCGCGTTTTCCGATGGAGGTGAGCAGCTCCTGGTTCTGCCGGGCTCTCTGCATCTGCTGCCTCTGCTTCTTCCGGGCTATTTCCAGGTACAGCGCCTCCCGCAGGACCTTCATGGAGGCGTCGATGGACAGGGACAAGCCGGAAGCCCTTCGACGGGAGAGGCCGGTGGGCCAACTCTTCTTCACCTTGCTGTGGTGTTGGCTGGGTGCGGGACCTTAGCCTGTTGAGCCGAGCGCTGTCCATGCTGCTGTCCTGCGATGGGGAGAGAAAGAGAGGGCTGTAGCTGATTTTTATGGTATTGGGGCGTTTGAGGCTTAAACTATCTGGCTGGCTTGGTTGCGGGACCTGCCTAGCCTGTTGAGCCTAGCGCTGTCCATGCTGCTGTCCTGCGATGGGGGAGAGAAGAGAGGGGGGGCTGTAGAATGATGATGATTTTTATGCTGTTATTGGGGGCGTTTGAGGCTTAAAATATCCGGCTGGCTGGGGTGCGGGACCTGCAGTGGGAAGGAGGGGAGGGGAGGAGAAAGGACGTTGTAAGAGTAATGACGCTTTTGATGTTATTGGGTGTGTTAGAGGCTTAAAATATCTGTTCGTGCTGGCTGAGTTGCGGGACACCTGCTCGGGCTGTTAAACCAAGCTGTATCCATTTTGCTGTCTTACAACGTGGAAAAGAATAGAAAAATAAAAGTCACTATTGCTTTCGTTATTGCCGTTTCATGTAGGGTCACAAATAAGGGTCTTTGGGGGCGTGGAACAACTGTTATCCTTCCTAATATCTTGTAAGGCGAAGAGCTAGTGAGACTGTTAAGTATGTGAGGAATTGTATTTCTGGGCAGCGAGGAGACAAAATGGAGAACTGTAGCATAAACTCTTGTAACATGGAAGGTGTAATTAAGTCACTATTATCGTGCCGAGTTACAGAATAGTCATTAGCAATGTTACTACTACCCCTTCAGTATGGAAAAGGCTCATATATTTAAGGAATGAAATGAATGCTGATTTTGATGTGCTCTTTAAAACATGCGAGTAGGAAGCCAAGATGTTTCTTGTCGAATAAACAAATGTCTTCTTATTTCCTAAGAGAATGTTGTGTGTAATTAAGTAACAATTAATCTCATGTTCCTTTTTTTTTTTGCCTTTTTTTATGTGAGTTTTAGGATATGAATCATATTCTTGATAACGGTATCATTATTTCTATCAGCTTATGAGTTTTAGGATATGAATCATATTCTTAATAATCGTATCATTATTTCTATCAGCTTATGAGTTTTAGGATATGAATCATATTCTTGGAAATAGTATCATTATTTCTATCAGCTTATGAGTTTTAGGAATATGAAATATCCTTGGATTTCTATCAGCTTATGAGTTTTAGGATATGAATCATATTCTTGATAATCGTATCATTATTTCTATCAGCTTATGAGTTTTAGGATATGAATCATATTCTTGATAATAGTATCATTATTTCTATCAGCTTATGAGTTTTTAGGATATGAATCATATTCTTGATAATCGTTCATTATTTCTATCAGCTTATGAGTTTTTAGGATAGGATATGATCATTATTTCTATCAGCTTATGAGTTTTAGGATATGATATTCTGATAATAGTATCATTATTTCTATCAGCTTATGAGTTTTTAGGATATGAAAATATTCTTGATAATGGTATCATTATTTCTATCAAGCTTATGAGTTTTAGGATATGAATCATATTCTTGATAATAGTATCATTATTTCTATCAGCTTATGAGTTTTAGGATATGAATCATATTCTTGATAATAGTATCATTATTTCTATCAGCTATGAATCATATTCTTGATAATAGTATCATTATTTCTATCAGCTTATGAGTTTTAGGATATGAATCATATTCTTGATAATAGTATCATTATTTCTATCAGCTTATGAGTTTTAGGATATGAATCATTATTCTTGATAATAGTATCATTATTTCTATCAGCTTATGAGTTTTAGGATATGAATCATATTCTTGATAATCGTATCATTATTTCTATCAGCTTAGGATATGAATCATATTTTGATAATCGGATGATTTAGGATAATGAATCATATTCTTGATAATAGTATCATTATTTCTATAGCTTATGAGTTTTAGGATATGAATCATATTCTTGATATATATCATTATTTCTATCAGCTTATGAGTTTTAGGATATGAATCATATCATAATCTTATGATAGGATATGTTCAGCTTATCAGCTATGTTTTAGGATATGAATCATATTCTTGATAATATTCATTATTTCTATCAGCTTATGAGTTTTAGGATATGAATCATATTCTTGATAATCGTATCATTATTTCTATCAGCTTATGAGTTTTAGGATATGAATCATATTCTTGATAATAGTATCATTATTTCTATCAGCTTATGAAGTTTTTAGGATATGAAATCATATTCTTGATAATAGTATCATTATTTCTATCAGCTTATGAGTTTTAGATATGAAATAATTTCTTGATAACGGTATCATTATTTCTATCAGCTTATGAGTTTTAGGATATGAATCATATTCTTGATAACGGTATCATTATTTCTATCAGCTTATCAGTTTTAGGATATGAATCACATTCTTGATAATAGTATCATTATTTCTATCAGCTTATGAGTTTTAGGATATGAATCATATTCTTTGATAATAGTATCATTATTTCTATCAGCTTATGAGTTTTAGGATAGATATGAGAGTTTTAGGATATGAATCATATCTTGATAATCGTATCATTATTTCTATCAGCTTATGAGTTTTAGGATATGAAATCATATTCTTGATAATCGTATCATTATTTCTATCAGCTTATGAGTTTTAGGATATGAATCATATTCTTGATAATCGTATCATTATTTCTATCAGCTTATGAGTTTTAGGATATGAATCATATTCTTGATAATCGTATCATTATTTCTATCAGCTTATGAGTTTTAGGATATGAATCATATTTCTTGATAATCGTATCATTATTTCTATCAGCTTATGAGTTTTAGGATATGAATCATATTCTTGATAATAGTATCATTATTTCTATCAGCTTATGAGTTTTAGGATATGAATCAATCATTCTTGATAATAGTATCATTATTTCTATCAGCTTATGAGTTTTAGGATATGAATCATATTCTTGATAATAATATCATTATTTTTTATCAGCTTATGAGTTTAGGATATGAAATCATATTCTTGATAATAATATCATTATTTCTATCAGCTTATGAGTTTTAGGAATATGAATCATATTCTTGATAAATAGTATCATTAATTTCTATCAGCTTATGAGTTTTAGGGGAATATTCTTGATATAGTATCATTATTTTCTATCTTATGAGTTTAGGATAATCAAGATAATCGTATCATTATTTCTATGCAGCTTATGAGTTTAGGATATGAATCATATTTTTGATAATAGTATCATTATTTCTATCAGCTTATGAGTTTTAGGAATGAATCATATTCTTGATATATCGTATCATTATTTCTATCAGCTTATGAGGTTTTTAGGATATGAATCATATTCTTGATAATCGTATCAATTATTTCTATCAGCTATTATGAGTTTTAGGGATTGAAATCATATATCTTGATAATAGTATCATTATTTCTAATCAGCTTATGAGTTTTAGGATATGAATCATATTCTTGATAATTCGTATCATTATTTCTATCAGCTTATGAAGTTTTTAAGGATTGAATCATATTCTTGATAATAGTATCATTATTTCTATCAGCTTATGAGTTTTAGGATATGAATCATATTCCTTGATAATGATAATCATTATTTTCTATCAGCTTATGAGTTTTAGGATTAAGTCATGATTCTTGAATTAATAGTAATCAATTATTTCTATCAGACTTATGAGTTTTAGGATATGAATCATATTCTTGATAATCGTATCATTATTTTTCTTCAGCTTTAATGAGTTTTAGGATATGAATCAATTCTTGATAATCGTATCATTATTTCTATCAGCTTATGAGTTTTAGGATATGAATCATATCTTGGATAATCGTATCATTATTTCTTCAGCTTATGAGTTTTAGGATATGAATCATGATTCTTTGATAATCGTATCAATTATTTTCTATCAAGCTTATGAGTTTTAGGATATGAATCATATTTTTGATAAATCATTATTCTATCAGCATATCATAATTCCATTATTTCTATCAGCTTATGAGTTTTTAGGGAAATGAATCATATTCTTGATAATCGTATCATTATTTCTATCAGCTTATGAGTTTTAGGATATGAATCATATTCTTGATAGTAGTATCATTATTTCTATCAGCTTATGAGTTTTAGGAAATGAATCATATTCTTGATAATAGTATCATTATTTCTATCAGCTTATGAGTTTTAGGATGTGAATCATATCTGAGTATCATTATTCTAATGCGATAGTTTTATTATTTCTATCAGCTTATGAGTTTTTAGGATATGAATCATTTCTTGATAATAGTATCATTATTTTCTATCAGCTTATGATTTTAAGGATATGAATCATATTCTTGATAATAGTATCATTATTTCTATCAGCTTATGAGTTTTTAGATATGAATCATATGCACTTATGAGTTTTAGGAATATGTATGATAATCATTATTTCTATCAGCTTATGAGTTTTAGGATATGAATCATATTCTTGATAATCGTATCATTATTTCTTATCAGCTTAATGAGTTTTAGGATATGAATCAATATTCATCGTATCTATTTCTATCAGCTTATGAGTTTTAGGATATGAATCATATTCTTGATAATCGTATCATTATTTCTATCAGCTTAATGAGTTTTAGGATATGAATCATATTCTTGATAATCGTATCATTATTTCTATCAGCTTATGAGTTTTAGGATATGAATCATATTCTTGATAATGGTATCATTATTTCTATCAGCTGATATGCTCTCTCCTTTTTCAAAACACGTAACTGCGAATACCCTAAAAGTTACCTCAAGTTACGGCATAATTCAGTACCACACACGACAATTTTCTTTTTTCTCTCTCTCTTTCTTTGATAAACAAAGATCGTAGGCGTTTCCAAGTTTATGTGCAAATAAGAAAAAATATACCTTTCGGGTTCTTTCTCTTTACCTGGAGACTATACACGAAGTTTGCGCTCCTTTGAAGTTATTATTTTTTTTTTTTTTTTTGCCTTGTAGG